TAAATAAAGAGAAAATAACCTTTTAAACTTAGTCAACTTAAAGTAAAAAATACCTACTCCATGATTAAAATACCATTCATGTAATTCATGGTATGACTCAAAAGTCGTATACTTCTTGACTCGATAAATTAAAAAAAATACTGCAGAGAAGTGAACGATCGACTTTGACGTTTCAAACAGATTACTGTAAATCCAGCATTTTTTTTTATGGATTACTGGATGTTCAGCAAGAAATGTTTTTTGCTGGAAGCAGTTCAGCAATTAATTTTGCTGAAACTCGATTCAGGTTTTTGGTGTGCAGACTTGATCCTCATAAAAAAAAACCTTCGTCAAGATCTCATTCTTTTTTTCGTTAATGACAAAGTTTCAGCTGTTAACATAAAGTGTAATTTCGTGCATTCTATGTCACATTATTGTTGAGCAGTTCAGGACGTAGATGTTTGTTCACTTTAACGGCTCCATGTAATTGATTTGCTCAAGTCATCTAATTCCGATACAAATTCAGTTAATAAAAAAACCTACACTTGTTCGTCACTGACAGCACTGTCATTGACAATTAACATGGTTTGCCTTGACAACGACTATTAGCTCAAATGAGTGTAGATCCAGCTAAATTTGCAAAAGAACCAAATTAATCATTTTGTCAAGCTTCTGCATTCATTTTCCATCAGATGTCACTGCTGTTGTTGGCGGTGACATCTATCGGAAACTACACATAATCTGTTTACCGTTAATTGTTCACAGAGGGTAGTGCAGTGCAAAACATGTATGGTACCTCTATATATGCATTTAGATTTATATCCGAAGCCCCTCCTTTTATACACATTCTGCACACAAAATAGCTCATCCCTCACTGGATTTGGTGCTGATTTCTATGAATGGGGCGGGGCAGGAACTCTATTTTGTGGTCTGTGAGAGGGAAATCACAAATAAAGTGTCATCAAAATACATGGCATGTTGAGAAATTGAACTAGGAAGAGTAAATTTAAATTATCAGATTTGAATTTTTTGGCTATCTGGGAACTGGTAGTAAAGTAGGTAAAACTGTATGGGGAAAAATCAGTTTTATTTAATTGTAGCTTGTTTAATAATAATTTCCGGGAAAAAAAACTGACCGACGAAGTCCCTGACTAATTTATTTAGGTTGTCGTTCACTTATTGTGACCTGAATATGCACCGAAAGCGAATTATTACTACTTCTCTCAATTTCTATATGGGGATTTTTATCACTTCCTACCAGCGGAACAGCGCCATCTCTGTGGAAAATGGCTGGACGATATGATCAATTTATAGGGCTTGCGATCAGCAATCCATTATCAGCAAATTCCGATGAATCAGTTTTGAGCAGTTCCATGCCAAATGACGAATCGATCAATTTGACACTTTGCATAATTGTTTGTTATGGGCAATGATTCACATTTCTGCTAAAAATTCGGCCATTTTGCACATTCTAAAAATTGTATAAATTGCATATTCGACGTGCGTAATGACGTGTGAGACAAAGTTTTAGGGAAAAAAAGTCTATCTATACGGTAAGAAAAAAATACCCAGCCGCCAGTTCACTTTTACCTACTTTTGGCTTGTTTGTCTCCTTTTCTCCTTATATTGTTGTCAAACACGGAAGAGCAAAACTACTCCACAGGGGTAGTAAAGTGTGGAAACCCAACGTTGAGTAAAATCATATTCACCTACTTTTGGGTAGAAAGCGAATGGAAAATTGTAAATGAAAACTACTTTGACCCGCTTTACCAACTCTTGGGATCCTGTTGTTGTGAAAAGCATCGATGAAAGAGATAAAAAGTAGAAGGGTCTAGCCTAGGGGCACGAACGGAAGCTTGACGTAGGACCGCTAGTGGACGGAAAAAATATGTTGAGCCTTTAGTTCTTTTAATTGATCGATAATCTATTATCTTAACTCTTCCCGTTTTTGAATTGGTGGCCCTGAAAATGGCCGGTTGTTTTTCAAATGGTGGCCCTAAGAAGGGCCGTTTTTTGTTTTTTTTTCTGGTATTTTTTTGATCGTTTGGGACGGCTGATGAAAAAATTGTGATTATTGATACCTGTAATTTTAAAAGTTTGTTTGTGACATTAAATTCTGAATAATGATATTACTACTTACATATAACAGTAAGTATAGGCCGATGGTAAGAGAAATAGGTGATGAATACTTTACATCTAAGATTTGGAATATGTAGCACAACGGCCGTGAGTGGTCAGAACAAACGTGTTTGCTCTTAGTTCTTTTAATTATTCGATCTATTATCTTAACTCTTTCTGTATTTGAATTGGTGGCCCTGAAAAGGGCCGTTTGTTTGTTGGTTTGGTTGTTGGGGTTGGAGGGTACGGAACGAATAGGTACTAATTGCTGTTGCCTTTTGGCGCTCCTTTTATTTTGGCGCTATTTGTTGATTTTACTGTTATATTGGATGATTCACGCAAGTTTATTCTCTCACGGATATTGAATGACCCAAAGCTGCTAGTGATTTTCCAAACACTGCTATTTGCACTGATTCTTTGCTGTTATTTCTCTCCATGGTTCAAAAATATTTCAATTTTGTGAACCTGTTTTACCCACCATCTAGAGATCTTAAAAGAAATTCTATAGCGTAGAAATATAGTGCCCTGAAAAAGGCCATTTGAAATCCAAAAGATTTACATGCTGGTACTTTCGGGATGGCATGCTTACACCATTGCACAGCAGTTGAAATTTTGAAGGTGATCAATGTTGTAGTCAGCCTAACGGAAAGACTGCAGTGGAACGTCCGAAAGATGATGAAGCTACTCAGAGAGCCTCCGATGTCCGCGTCCTTCAGGGTCCTACCAAATTTGTGGTGACCATCTCCGTCGCAAATGAAACTGCCCTTTTAGATCGAAGCGAACAAACTGGTGTACTTGGGTATCTCCAGAGACAGCGTGCTCAGTTGGCTTTCCTGGCAGCAGCATTACGCAGGTGATCATTGTAGTCAAACTTAGCTGTGTAACGTTCGAAGGATGTCGTTGTCGTTGGTAATACTTCTCATTCCGATGTCTGGGACTTTCAAATTAGTTGTGACGACTGCCCCACAGCTAATGAAATTGCAACTGATCACGTTCACTGAATTACAGTCTGTTTTATACTGGCAGAACAGCTAATTAGGCCGCTCCCTTTTGTAGTATTTTTCGTCAGAGCGTTCCTAATTTCAAATACCTATATGGCAGCATTCATACCAGACCAAGACGTGCTCCGACCAGCATTGCATTGGATTGTTGTGTATATAAATTAAAGACGTAGTCCTACGTCAAAAACTAAATAACCAAAATTGTCCTTGACCAATGTAATTGATTTTTTTAAAGCTTATGAAAAATGCAAACTTTTGAATTATTTAAAACCTTGGACAATCAAAAATTTACAAAAATATTAGAACAACAATTTCCAGACACCTTTTTTAATTTTTTTTGTTGATTCAAGGTTTTCAATATTCCATAGGTTGGTTTTTTCATAAACTTAAAAAAAATCTATAATATTAAACAACGAAATTTGTTGTTCTTTTATATTTTTTCACGTTATTCGATTTTACAGCTTTGCCTCAGATGTCATTACGATTAGAAGGACGTTTTCGTCCAATGATTTATTGAAAAATAGCTAGATTCAAAATGGCCGAATTTGAGCGGAAATGTGAATGATTGCTCATAACAAACAATTATGCAAAGTTTCACGCAAATCGGAGAAGATCGAGCCAAACATTTATTTTAGGAGCTGCTCACTTTCATGATATTAATTGCATAATTGAATATTGGCGACTATTGAGGTAATTGAACTTGATTCGTAAAATTAACGGACTTTAATTTTGCAAAACTATTTTAAAAGCCTGCCGACCATAACTATATAACACCTATAGTGTACATGCGGTGATTCATTAAGGGTTCTGTATATCTTTTATACAAATCTGTAACGGAATGTTACATCTACCGCTTGGGTGTGCCGAAAGCATTGCAACTACGGAGGTGCTAGGGAGGCTACTTATTTTCCTTACACATCAAAATTGTTCGCTACTTGCCTAATTTAGAAGTTCGAAAAATAAATTACGCCAATGACTGAAAGTGGTTCGAGGGAGGATCTTTTTGGATTGGACATTTTCGCGGCTTGCCTGAATTAAACAGTACTTAACATCCAACCCTCACTACGCTACAGATTTCCACCAACAACTCATTAGCGTGTTGACACCTCACCCAACGAGTCAATTCCACAGTCAGTCGTTGCATACATTCTTCACATCTCTGCACCTCTTCCTGTAGCACACATCGTCGCCAAAGTCGTAACTATTACAAATAATTTTAAGCGACACGTTTGTAAAAGCCTATCAACGATGGGGGATATTATTGGCGCACACTAACTCCAGCTGACAGCCACGGCGGACGACGAACGGAGTATCTACTCTACATTATCGCAATTTATCTCAATTATCGCACATGGAATTTTAATTACAGCCCGCCAGCGTGCCAAACAATGGGAAATATGAGTATTTGAACAAATATATGAATTAAGATCTGTACGCTGAGAGTAACATGTAAATTTACGGGCTTTTATCTCCGGCGAAGCATTAGCAGCGTCAGTCAGGCGACAGCGGTGACGGATGGCAGCATGGAGGGCTAGCATTCCATTGCATTGTGATCGGATGGGTGAAGAATGGCATTTCAAACATTTTTCACCAAACCACCCGCTGACTTCATCACCTGCCAAGAGTTTGGCTTGAGCAACTCAGATGATTAACTGGAGATAAGCATCTTTCTCCTTTTCTAAATCTTTATCTATATTATAGTAAATATTTTGCTTTAAGGTACCGCAATTTCAGAATCTGCAATGCGTTGATAAACTTTCACAATGTGCAATTTCCGTTCTCAATACAGATACCCACTTGACACACTCAATAAACATACCAGATCTCAAATGTTGCAGATTTATTTGCATTACGCCACAGCTCTAACAGCCACTTTCCCTTTTCTTCCTTGACTACTTGCAGATGAATCTGACAATGAAGCTGCTGATACTGTTTGCATTCCTGCTGATTTACTCATCCGGCCATCGGATACAGCTGTCCGATTCGATTCTGGACATCATCAACACCCGGCACGTGGAGCGGATCATGGCGGAGCGGCGGATGAACTCCTCGCGGGACGACAAACGCTACACGATGGTGCAGAACGAGCTGATGGACGAAGACGCAACGGAGGACAGCACCGGTGATCTCGGGTACCAAACGCCCGAGGTGGCTATTGATTTTGACTTTAACGGGCGGCGTCAGCCGGGTGGTTCAGTAACATCATTCAACGAAAGCGGCTTTCAGTACCAACCAACGGGATCCGCCCCCAATGCGGATATTTTGGCCGATCTGCAGGCGTACCGAGGGGACAAGTTGCTCAAATCGAGCAAGAATGCACTGGTGGTGACGCGAAAGGAGTACCTGAAGAAGGATTGGTGCAAGACGGAACCGTTGGTGCAACGAATCCGGGAAGAGGGATGCCTCAGCCGGACGATCATCAATCGCTTTTGCTACGGGCAGTGCAATTCGTTCTACATTCCAAAGTCACCGAAGCGTAGGCGTCACCACGGTGGCGCAGCAGGACGGAACGGGCACGGCGGTCATCACGGGGGTGGCCGGCGTGAGGTCGATCTGGACTTTGAAGACGAGGACCTAACCGGGCCGGCGTTTCGCTCGTGCGCCTTCTGCAAGCCCAAAAAGTTCACCTGGATCACGGTGACGTTGCGGTGTCCCTCGTTGGTGCCCCAGCTGCGGCGGAAGCGCATCCAACGCATCAAACAGTGCAAATGTATTGCCGAGCCGTTGAACTAGAGAGAGCGAGAGAGATCGAGAGAGAGAGAGAGAGAGCTGTTATTATTCTTATTACTTTAATATTATTGGTTCTGTTGTCGACGAGGATGGGACGTGAAAGTGTGGGTAATATGTAAATGTATTTTTTATTTTATTTTTCTGTGTTTGTACGAGTGGGTGGGTGAATGATTGAGCGCTCTTTCCGTTTGTGCTTGGCTAGTAAGTGAGCGCACGCGAAACCAGAAATGAGAGTAGGCTTTATTTTGTTTTAAGTTTTTCTTTTTTAATTATATTTAATAAGTCTGTTTTGTTTTAAGTCTTCTGTAGGTACGTTGTGTGTGTGTGTAATTGTATCTCTACGTGATTCCTGTTTTGGCACTGAATTTGGAATCGACCGTCACCGTTGAGGAAATCTGAGTTCCGCAAAGTGTGACAGTCGCGCATGGTAGATAAATGTGATTAATTGCTTGAAACGGAGCTTCAGTTGTTAGATTTTTCTGCAATAGAAGTCACACATTCAAATTGAAATAATGGTTATGATTTTCAATTTTAGCGCCCGTTGCCGTGCCGGAATCTGACTCTGGCTGCTTTTATCCCACGTGGCGTCAGCTGAAGTGAGAATTGATGTTAATTTATGCTTGCACAGTATTGACTGTGAGCGGTGTTTACTAGTTTTTTTTTGCGATTCTTAACAGCTACCAGCAATAGTCGTTCGGACATGGCTTCTTCCAAATCGGTAACTCATTGTGTACGTAAACGGATTGTGTGCAGATTTTTGAAATCAGTTAGCATTTAGGGATCATTCAATAATTACGCACGCCAGTACGGGACCAAGGATTTCTGTCTGAAGGGTTAGGGGGTTTATAAAAATGAAGTAATTTAATAAAAAGCTATTTTTTATTGAATTATCAGTGACATACTTGTAATCAATTTCCACTAATTTCATCAAATTCGATGAATGTTATTTCGATTGCGAGATGTAACCCATGATGAAATATTAAGATCTTATATTTTTCAGAGGTTTTTCCTTCTTTTATACATGAGCAGTGCTTTAATCTATGTAGGGTGTCCCGGAAAGTATAAGTACGTATTATTATTGGAATAAAACAACGATATGTTAATGAATGTTGTATTACATATGTATGTTCCCTATAGTATTTTCTTTCAATTCGATGAAAATGATCCGCAGTTTCTTTAATCGTATGCCAAAGAGCGATATTTTGATCTGACCCTGCCCATGAGCTTCAGCCTTGAGATTTCTTGGCGATAACTTTCGCTACAGTCAGCGGCGCCGGTTGTGTAGTGGTAAGCGTGATTGCCTATCACCCCAAAAGGCCTGGGTTCAATCCCAGTCAGCGCCGCCGAGATTTTCTAAGGCATGAAATCTCTGATCACGCCTTCATTCGGAAGGGAAGTGAAACCGTTGGTCCCCGGTCCATGAGCTGATGGGTCGATAGGTAGGGTCCAGGTATGGGAGCTACCTCACTTTTGTCCAGCCTTTTTTTTTTTCAAATTCTTTGATTGAATTCGCTGCTATAAAGTGTTTCCGTAGATATCCCTTGGAAAGGGTCTAAAAAGTTTCTATTGACCGGGCCTCCGGACAATTCGGAGGATTCATCTCTTTTGGCACGTAATGCACATTGTTTGATTTGTATCAAGCTACCGTGTCTTTTGAGTAGTGTATTTTCACCAAATAAGACCAAAATAGTACTGAGCTTTCATTTTGACGGATCATGGGCCACAGACGCCGATTCAAACACTCCCGAACTTAAATGTCAGTGTTCATCGTCTCGTTCGGCACAAATGGCTTTGACAACTTGCCACACTCAAATACGAACTAAACCTCCGGCGAAGCAGCTGGCGAGTTAGGTCAAAGTCAAACAGTGCGGAGACCCTATTGAAGAGTGTCTGTAAACCACCGATTATGCCGAACATGCTATAACTAGTTCGCTGTATGGACAAGCGAAGCATTGAATTATTCCGTAGGGCTCGGGGTTGAACATTGATGTCAACTTGCTCAAGGAAAACAGGGCAATCCGTGCGTCTTTGCAAAATATCCGCAATTAGCAATGACCTTGCTGTATCTTTTCGGACCGACAGGGGCTCCAGATGGATCAATTGCAAACGACTTTCTTAGCCAGGCAATCGGAATGGATCCATTCTCGACAGTTTTACGTAGCGCATATCTCAGGAACCGTCGCTGAACAGACTAAACTCTTTCGACACCGTAGTTGTAGTGAGGAGTCCAGAGAACCGAGCAGTATTCTAATATGGAGCGAGACAAGGAGAAGTACAACGATTTATGGCGGTAGATATCCGTGAAGTCTTTTGCAATTCTGAAGATTAATCCTGGAATTCTGGAAGCTGTGTCGACGGCATACGAGATGTGTTGCTTGAAAGAGAGTTGTGTATCCAGAATCACACCTAAGTCCTTAATTTGGGTGACGCGCTCAATTTCAGTGGCTAACAAAACATAATAGTCTCTTTCTTGCGCGAAAAAGAGATAATCGAGCATGTGGACGGTTTAACCTCAATATGATTCAGAATACATCATTAAGGTCATCTGCGCATGATAATCGTGGTTCCTCAATTACCAGATTCATAGATTCGTTGAAATAAATCAGGAAAATCAGCGGTCACAGGTGACTACCCTGGGATATGCCGGACTTGGCAGCAAACATACGGGACTGGTGATCAACAATGACAACAGTAAGATAGCGATCGGTGAGGTACGACTGAAACCATTGCAAAAGGCAGTCGTGGATACCAAGCGTGTCCAGTTTTGCGATTGATATGCGATGATTCAATTTATCGAAGGCAGCAGATAAGTCATTATAAACTACATCCGTCTGAGCACGATCCGACGTACTGTTACAGATGTAGGAAGTAAGGCACCGCAAGTTAGTGGTAGTGGAGCGACCAGCCATGAAACCATGCTGGTCGATACTAATATACGGCTTACAGTGAGCGAATAACGGTTCCATAACAACGAGTTCGAACAATTTAGCAACAGCGCTAAGCGATGTGATTCCACGGTAGTTGCCAACGTCCTGTTTGTTGCCCTTCTTGTGTAATGGAAACTGGAGCGCTAGCTTTCAACAGGATGGGAAAACGCCGACGTCCACGGACCTTTGAAAAACCGTGCAGCAGTGGAGACAACAAACTGTCCAAGTGCGATTTGAGGAACGCCGATGGAATTCCCGGATTATACGACGAATTGAGTTTCAATTCTGCTCATGGTTTGGCCATATAGTGGTAAGTAACTGGCAGTCAGGCATGGTCGTCACTCAGTGTCTCGTCCGTGAAGACACTAGCATTTTTTTTTCAGAGAACAGCTGACAGATATCTTGCGTAGATGGGGCCACGTTACCATTATGTATCATAGACGACGGCAGACCAGCTTCATGACGTTGTTCGTTGACAAGCGTCCAAAACTGCTTGGGACGTGACTTAAGCTTTTACTGCAATCCACGTCGATACTGAAGAAAGCACTGTTTCGAATCTTTTTTGGATTCGTGATTGATCCAGACATAGTGACGTTGAAGGGATAGGGTGCGGTGCTTGGTGAATTTCCTAAGAGCGGCTCTCTTTCTGGATTTCAGTCGACGAAATTCGCTCGTATGCCATGGTGGATGGGTCGTATGATGATGAATCTTTATTGTAACGTGCCTGTCAATGACATATGCCAAAACAATGGAAATAGTTTGAGCGGCGGACTCAATGTCAACGGTGTCCAATAAGTCGTCCCAATCTAAACTGGAGAGTAATCCAGCGATACCGGCAGATGAAATATTAAAATCATGCAACTCTAAGATAAGAAGGTCCCGAAGAAACGTGCTCAACTTTTTGACTCAGCTCTGGCACTCTCTTCGGTACCAAGCTAATCGATGCACCCCTCGAAACATAGAAACATCCACGAACCCCTCATTTTATCTGTCAAACTTTCATAGCGAATCAAAACAAACATAGTGTAGTACTAGAATTTCGACTAGAATGGGGTACGTTAATCGATTTGCTTGGGACCAATAGGCTAGTCTAGTAGTGAGGCAAGTTTAAATCGTTAGTTTCCAACCGGTGCTAGTACTTAACGTCACCAGTAGCGGCGGGTGATGACGATCCAGTCTCACCCCAGGAGTGGGCCCCTCGCCTAAGAAAGGAGTTATGTCCTGGGCGCTTACAAAACAAAGATCCAACCTGCAGTTGTTCTGGTTAATAACCTGATTGATTTGAGAAAGAGTGGCGGAGCTGTAATTGTCCAGAACAGACAGACTGATCCATATTAGGATATAGGAAGCGGTTGCGAGTTTTTTTTTATGAAATCGGGAGATTGAAGTCAATAAACACAATAACTTCATCGGTTGCTTTAGCGGTATCCAGAACAGAGAAAACCGATTGGCAATGGGTTTCGATGAGGTCACGCTCGCGTATACGGTCGGGAGGAAAGTACACCGCACAGAGAAAAAAGGGTACGGTTACCCAGTTTGATCGACGGCTTTACCTGCTCTAAGCATATTCAAGAATTATTTTCTTGTAGTCTCGCTTGAAACCTTGAATTTACAGCCATTAAAACACCTCAACCTTTAACAATCCAAAATGATGTCGTAGCAAAGATCCACGGTAGCTACGCGAAAATCGTCGACAGCACAGTTGATACCACCGACCCTCTGGTAGAACATGGATATTTCATGCTGGCAGTAGGCAGGACGCATGCATGGGACATGATGTGGCTAGTGCGGAGGCCGCAGAACCGGAAACACAGCCAGACGTTAAAGCAGTATCAGGCAAAGGAGAGGCTGAATCGTCAATATACTTGCCAGTTATAGCTGGTTGGAAGACCCCCGACCTACATCTACACTCAGGGCTGAGACGACTATGCTGAGCGCTGGCTGGAGTAATCTCGACTGAGGCAGAGAAATCAGGGGCTTCCATAATGCTATCCACGATGCGTCTCGGTGGTAATTGTGGTGGTCCGCAAGCAGTAGAGGTAGCGTTTTGTCCGTTGTCGGACAAAAACAATTCGGGAAACCCCGTTCGTGTTGATGGGTTTGATATCTAGGTTCAAGGTGTGAAGGCGCCTTGCTTGAATTCGATTTCCGTTCTTGGATGGCAATTGATACAGGTTGTAACATTTCTAAGAGAATCAGAAACTGAATATAGTTCCAAAAAAATTCTAAGGATTGGTTCAAGCAAATTACGAGCAAGATTCCATGGTAGTGTTAAGGAGAATATCAAAGAACTTCTGGAAGCATTTCTGAGTATATTCCAAGGGTACTTCGGGAGAATAATTGAGAAATGCTGAAGAGAATTCCTCACAAGTTTTCAGGAGAATTCCGACGAATCCCACGGAAATTTTTTGAAAAATTTCATGCTGAGGTTAGTTCTTTGGAAATTTACAGGAAATGTATAATCAGAAATCCAAGTTAGTTCTGAACATGGCCATACAATTCGTAGTTGCTACTCCACGATTTACCTGATCCAGTGAAATTTACACAAAAAAGAAATGATTGATGAATCAGAATTTTCATGATAAATAGCGGCTGACCACGTCTTTAGGGTCATCGTGGAAAAGAAGGATTGTTAGTATGACCTCTGCACCTCCACATCTTCATGGGAAGGGAATTAATATGAGTGGGAAGGTAGCTAGCAGATCAGGATTCACCGTTTTATGTGATGTGATCGTTTGTTTGCATTGCGACTCTAACCAATCTTTATAATGAAGGGCCTGGGAACTGAACTCACGATCTTTTGCTTAATCAGCAAAAACGGTCAACACTAGGCCAGCGAGCCCCTAATTATTTGTGCGTATAAAACAATTATAGTCGAATTTGTGATCGAGTTATTGTTATTTCGGCGGTAGTTTCGACGACGATCATCAGCAGGAAAACGACAGCAAAGGAGCCGTTCTGGATGATAAAAGGATTCTTTTATGATTTCCAACCAGCACACTTCCTAATGTGCCACGAATAAAGTTTCTTATACGTATATGTTCTAACCAAAAATTGTTGCCATTAGGCCACCGATCATAACAATTCATGGCGACTGGCTAATTTCCGAACCTATATCTGGCATACGTCGTATTTTAACGCAAAACAAAAGTAAAAGAAATCAATGCGACCATCGTAAGTTCATATTGTGAAGGAACATGAGATTGATCTTATGATCTTCTGCAATCAAACGATGCTAACGTTTGTCAGAAATCGGGTAGACTCTTTTTGGATTCTGAATCCTGGTCGAATTATGGGTGAAGGTAACATTTTCAGATCCTCATTGATTTTTCAAAGCTAAACAGTTAGCATATTAAAATTTCTATTGTGTATCAAGTTACCCCCATGGATACCACATTCAGAGCTCATCGTCGGATGATCGCATATACAAAGTCTCCCATTTGCTCATTAGCGACACCGCATCATAGAGCCCCATCATCGATACCGCATGTATGCGCGGAATGATACCGAGTGTTATTTTTCTGTCGGTACACTCAAATAAGATACGAAACCCCATTCTATTACGGCATTGTATAAATCGAATGCGTACATTTCTAGTATGAAAACCACACAAAATTTATAATTATTCGTATTTATGAAGAATATTCTTTAGACAAAACCTTCCTTTTTGGGTGTATCTGTTGTTGTTATTCTAGTAGTAATTATATCTTGCGAAGGTAGACGACAACGGCGAAGCTCATCGGGTTTGACTCATCGCTTGTGCCAACTTCGCACAGTGCCAAAGTTGGGGTCGGTCGCAGATTCGCGCGCAAAAATTAATTCAAAACTCGCGGCGGCCACTGAGGCGGCAGGCGCTATTCGGCTGTATTCGTAAGCGATGATTTTTATTGATAATTTTTATGGGATTTCGAAACTTTTTTTTAGGCGATTATGGAAATTAGTTCGTAACCTGTCCACTCTGGCTGATTGGCGATTGCTGGCGCATGGCGTGGTGCGGCTCGTGTT